CTCTCTCTCTCTCTCTCTCTCTCATCATTGAAAGCAGATTGTTATACAGCTCCCAAAGAAGGAATCATTTTTATGGTTTTACATTCATTTCCTTTTTGTTCCATGGAAACATCTATTTTCCATCAAAACATTTACAACGTTAATGAGCTTGCTTTGCTTTGAACATTTTTGGTCAATGTAAAAGGGACCAGAAAGAAATCATAGGATATGAAATTCCATATAAAAACTTCTTTTTCATTCATGTTTCGTATTTCTAGTTTTCCGAAGTAAAAAGGGACCACTGAGAGAGAGAGAGAGAAAAAGAGAGAGAGAGAGAGAGAGAGAGAGAGAGAGAGAGAGAGAGAGAGGGAGATCATAGGATATGAAATTCTATATCAAAACTTGTTTTCCACTCATGTTTTGTATTTCAAAGCTCTTCTCTTTGATTTGATATTGCCGTCACTTGAGATCTAACATCTTGGTTCGTTTCCTTAGACCGGATTCAGAAGCTCAAACTGCCCTGCTCCCAAATCGAAATCGACGATGACTGGACAGTCCACTACGGCGACCACATTTTTAACCTGGAAAAGTTCCCAGACCCCAAGAAGATGGTCGCTGACCTAAACAAGAAAGGCTATCCAGTGACCCTGTGGGTTCATCCCTTCTTCAGTTTGGAGTCGGAGTCGTTTCAAGAGGCTTTTCGGCACGGATATGCTGTCATGAGTCGAGTAAGACGCTGGATTGTTGAAGAAAAGAATAATTCTGGGCTGCCATAGCTCTCCTAGAAGTTAAAGTCACCTCATTCATTACTGTCATTATGATAATAAGAAAATTAGGAACAGAAAGAGATATCATTTCCATAGATCCTTTCTGGAAAAACGTTTGACTTGTTTAATCAAGTTGTCTTGATTATTATCATCAGTACGAGCAACATATAAGAAAATAATGCGGGACTTTTCGTATTTCTTTTCTAGAAATTAAAATCTGTTTCAATGTTGTCATTTCGATAAAAAGAAACTAAGAAAAGAAATATTTAATGTTATCTACTTCCAGAGATATTTTTGTTGAAAAAAGTTGGAACTTTTTATAAACAAGTCGTCTCGATTGTCATCAGTAATAACAGGGTTTTTCTTTTTTAATCAGGAGTAACGTAAGAAAATAATTGACAAGACAAAGAACGAAACAAATCTTATGACAAGGTGTGTTTTGTGGGTGGTTGGCAACTGCTTCAGGGTGGTTTGCCCCCTCGTTCGTACCAATCATCTATCATCCTAAATAAGCCTCCTTTTTCTGTGTACGTTACTCTCTATTTATTACTCCTAATCTTCAGGTACACAAGTATTTATCTGATCTAATTGTGTTGTAATGGCCATAAAACTCCTAGAAATTCTAAACAATGGTCCGTTTCTAAACTTTGAAAGGCTTAACGCCCCCCCCCCCCCAAATCCTTTTTCAAACAGACCCTGCTTTTACTTAGATGGACAGTAGATCAGTTCCGAACCTAAACGACACAATTCTGCAGCCTTTCTACTGCTACTCTTTGGCTCCTTCTTACAACTGGGGGCTGTCTTTCTGTCAAATCCTTGATCTTGAGGTGAGAAAGATTTACACCTATCCTTTTCAGATAGGGTGAAGAAAAATCTCGGAAGTTCCGTGTGCAAGTTGCGCACGTTGAAGATCCCTTGGTGGTCCAACATCGATAAGAGTAAGCTTCGGTTCGGCCGCCACTAGGGCAAAATTCAAAATGAATTCCTTCAAAACTAAAAAGTTTAATGTGTCAAGCACGATCGTGTGACCTTATGCAGTTGCAAGTGCCGTAAAACACTTACAAAAACAAAAACATAATTCTTCCTAGGGCTCGGCGAATCCGTCCTTGATGAAGTGGTGGAACGGAGATATGGCCGCCGTGCTGGATGTGTCTAACCCAGCTGCTGTCTTGTGGTTTCAGAAGAAACTCACTCATCTCCAGGAGAAATACAATATCTCCTCCTTCAAGGTGAGCGAAGATTGGATGTTGTTGTCCTTTCATCTTTCCATCCTGTTTGTTGTGGCATCAGTGGTTTTGTGGTTATGCTGTTTTGCCGTAAGCTAGCAAAATGCCTTTTTCATTTTGGCGCAAGAACTTGTCATTGCTAAATCAAAAGCCTGATCAGTTACAATACTAAACCGTGAGGAAAAAAACCAAATTGAAACCGAGACAAGTTTTTATAATAAATTCAAATTCAAATTTCTAAAGAACGCTATTTTAAGATGGTTACACTGACCAAAAAAACAAAACAAAAACAACTACAACTCTTTTTCTCGAAACTGCTGTGAATTTTTTTTAAAAAGGCGTTTTGTCAGCTTACCGCCGTGTAGGGCTTAATGCAACCAAGATATCATGGGTTCAAACCTCTTCAGGGGCCCAACGTTGTTGTGTCCTTGGGAAAGGCAATGTAGTCCAAATTATTTTTTTCTTCTGGAACAGTGGAAGATCTGTGTCTGCTTGTAAAGTCTGAGTGCTTAATTGGCTTCTTGTACTGTGTGCTTCTCAGAAAGCTAACAATGTTTATGGGTATTGCAGGGTCTGCTGGGGTAATAATGTAGTATGG